CATGACTCTCCACAATGATATAATATTCTCCACTTTAAGCAGAATCTCTAGTGAATTTACTTTGGACTTTTCAAAAAGGTCTCCTACCAATTGAGAGAGTATTTTTTTTATTTATTAAAAACCATTATCATTCACTAAATTAGAACATATATGAAATTTCCATCCTCCAAGGCAGACTTTATTAGTTACTCTTTTTAGCAAAGGAATGAAAATTTAATAGGTAAAATAATTTAACTTGATAAAAACAAATTAACTAACAAATATCAAATACAATTTTTTAATTTCAATTACTCTAAAATGGGAACAACTAACACAAATAACATCATCTTCACTAAATTGTGGTTAGTCCAATTATTTAATTGGTTGGACACATATTTGGCGACGTCCTCAGAGTAAGAGTAAGCTCGCCACCAGAGGAGGCTGCCACGGCCACTGTCCACATAAGCTTGGCGCTGGAGGAGGCCGCCTGTGTCCCTAGTTCCGACCGAAATGCAGGAGCTACCAGAGGTGGGATCAATGTGGAATGTCGGACTATTATTGTTGTTATTTATAAGCTGCCGTAGGTTTTGAGTGTCGGAAATGGCTTGGGAAGAAGCTGCATGGGAATGGAAATGGAAGGAGAAAAGATAAAGGAGGAAGAGGAGGAAGAAAACAATGGAGGCTCCCATGCCCAAATTTGGTACCGGGAAGGACAAAAATGGGGGAGGGATTTAAAGATGAAGTAATACAATGAACACGCTTTGAATTTTCCATTGATTTGACTCCGACAAAGTCTTGGTCTTTTGATTCACTTATAGGATATGTGGAAAATTAGTTCCAACATATATTATATAGCCTCTCGAAGTTTATGGGTCATGCCCATTTATTAATCGTCACGGTTTGAACAAACTCCTAAAGAAAGATTTTTTTATTAGCTAAATAAGATCGAAAATATAGATTATATTTTATGTCCTCAACATAATATCTACTACTCAAAAGTGTGAATAGATCAGAAAATATTATTGAAAGAATATAGATTTAAAAATGAGAAATAAAATTGAGATGGAAGGTTCAATCTTCATTGATATTCACAAGTTTTTTAATATGATACAAGATACCAACTAATACCGAAAATATAAACTAACTAAATCTTGAGAAAAAATATTAACTAATTACGAATATCTTGACTAATTCAAATTAACAATAAGTTGTCACTAGTACACTCACTAGAAGTGGGGCTGAACTCCATTGGAACATTAAACCCATCGGTGAGAGAAATATCACCAATGTCCAAGTTCAAGATATCAAACTGGTAGGATATATATTCGGCGAGGGTGGTGGGCGGAGTACCATAAGCTTCGCAATGGAGGAGGCCACCATAGTCACCAGTCTCAAATCTACCATGACCTGACGCATCGAAGTTGCAGTTGGTTCGAGCCCAAATACGAGCATCTGTAACGTCGTGTTTCACTTCGAGTGTCCAAACATCAGTTTGATTAAGCTGTCGTCCACCGTCTGGTACTGCGGCAGCCCAATCAGTGAAGTCACAATTGTTTCTGATTTCAAAGATAGTTGCATGGGTGTGGAAACAAAAAGAAAGAGAAAAAAAAAAGAAGGAAACAAATATTCATAATTATCATCTTCTTCCTTGTTTCCATCTTCCTAACTAGAGATCCAAGAACATTTTAATCATTTAAAGAAAATCAAGTACTTTTATAATTCGTATTAAACACATGGAAGGCCACGTATATCTTATTATAATGGTCAAAATAATTTAAGATAAAAATGGTTGATATTTAATTTAGCGTGTATTTAGTCAATGCAATATTTACGAAATTGAAAACTACTTTTAAATAATAATAATAATAATAATTGTCAACAATCTATAATCCATCTATGACTAGAGTGGAGATTTCTCCCCATTTTTAATCAATAAATATTTGAATAATTGAAAGTTTATTTAATTATATATATATATATAATTATTGCAACAGTTAGATAACTTTCCATGAAATGTTAAAAATATGTTACAAATTAATAAAAAAAACTGGCTGAAATTATTTTTTAATAATATATATTTTATGAAGCAAGAACCAGCAATTTAAAATGTTAGTAAAAAATATATAATAGAAATGAATAATTGGAGATGAAAAAAGGATTTAATGTTATTCTCACGTTGTTTAGATATACAGACAAATACTTGAACTCCAACGAATTTTCATATTTATAAATAAATTATATTTATAAAATTAATTGTAGCTATATAACCAACAAATCAGAGTGGCGCAGCGGAAGCGTGGTGGGCCCATAACCCACAGGTCCCAGGATCGAAACCTGGCTCTGATAGAGAAAAGCTTCCGAACTCTACTTTTGCTTTATCTTATCATACCTGTTTTGGGTTTTGACGAAACTTGACCCATTTAGGATTGTACATATTGGGCTAGGCTTGGTCTGATCTCTTTTGGGCTTTAACGAAAGTGAGCCTATTGGACTTCTATATATTGGTCTGGGCTTCTTAATGGGCTAAAAATGGGCCCAATGGCTTATATAATGGGCAGGGTTTCGTCTGCTCTGTTTTTGGTTTTAACGAAAGTGGGCCCATTGAGCTTATATATTGGACTGGGCTTAGTCTTTCGGCTCGAAATTAGGCCCATTCGGCCAGCGCGTATTGGACTTGGGCTAGTCTGATCTCTTTTGGGTTTTACGAAAGTCGGCCCATTTGGGCGTATAGATATTGGGCTGGGCTTCGTCTGATCTGTTTTGGGTTTGCCTGGGCTTAGTCATCTGTTTTGGGTTTTAAGAATGTGGGCCCATTGGGCTTTTATATATTGTGCTGGGCTTTGACCAGCTCCCGAAACTGGGCTCATTTGGTCTTATTGATATTGGGCTGGGCATTGTCTGATTTTTTTGGGTTTTAAAGAAAGTGGGTCATTGTGCTTATATATTGGGCTGGGCTTAATCCTAGACTCGAAACTGGGCCTTGTGTTTTTCAATTTTGTATAAGGAAATTAACGTTTCTTGATTCAATAAAAACTTAGAATCGTGAAGTATCATTGCTACTCGTTGCTACTCGAATCTCCGAGTACGAGAGTTGCTTAAAGTTTAGATTGATACTTAGACGCACTTGGGCACAGATTCTTGAAGAATGTGGAGTAACCTATCGACCCACCGCTGCTGTCTGGGGCAGTGCAGCAGTATCGATCGCCACCGAACACGGTGCAAGAATTGTTGCAGCCTCTAGGAGCCCTCAGCTCCTTCGGGCACTATCGGTTGATGTCCGCTGTGCAGCTTTATAAGAATATAAATAAGACAATAAATTTATTTACTAAATAACTTATCCCACCAGAATTGGACAATAACTTAAATAGGTTAAATTAATTATAAAAAAAATAACAATTTTAAATTTTGTATTTCTTCTTAAAAAAAAATACTTTTTAAAACCGTTCAAGATATCAATGAAATTTTAAAAGAACTTATTTTTTAATTATTTTAAAATTAGAAAGTTAATTTCATTAGATCTAAAGATATTTGGGAAACTTTTTAAAATTTAAAGATATTTTTTAATAAAATATAAAATATAGATTTATTTTATTAATTTAATATACCGGATATTGTTGCTAGAGCACTTGCTAGAAGTGGGGTTGAACTCTATCGGAACATTAAATCCATCTGTGAGAGAAATATCACCGATCTCCAAATTCGTGCTATCATATTTGTACGATAAATATTCAGCGAGGGTGTTCGACAGAGTACCGTAATCTTGACACTGGAGGAGGCCACCATAGTCACCAGTCTCACATCTACTACGACCCGATGCATCGAAGTTGCAGTTGGTTCGAGCCCAAATACGAGCACTCCTAATGTTGGGTTTCATTTTGAGTGTCAGTACATCTGTTTGATTAAGCTGTCATCCGCCGTCGGCACTACGGCAGCCGAAGAGACAATTGTTGCGGACTTCAAAGATAGCCGCATGGATGTGGGAACGAAAAGAAAGAAGAGATAAAAGAGAAAACAAATATTCATAACTATCATCTTCATCTTTGTTTTCATCATCTTCCTAAACTTGCATCTTTACAAAGTCGTAATTAACTAGATATTATGAACCTTTCGATCTTTAAAGAAAGTTTGGTTGAAAACAATTATTTAATTTGTTATTTATTAGAGATGAATAATTGAATAATTGAAAGTTAATTTTTATATATATATTGTTATTTTTCGGCTTTCTTTAAGGCTTTAAAATAGTCTGTAAGGTTTCCACGCTCTTCATTTATAAAAATGGTGTTTTGTTCTCATCCCCAACTAACAAAACTGATTGCAAAAGAGTGGAAATCAGCCACATTAAAATTACCTTCTGGGTAGGTCTGTTTGATATTCAAAAATTACTCAACAACAGTCGGGACAAGCTGGGAATGCTAAGTAAACCAAAAAAGTTTGGGTAGAGTCGAATCTAAATGTTGGCTACGTAAGCATCCGTAATAAGAGGAGTAGTTATAAACACTGTAGACCATCCCATGGGGATGGTGAAGGGAGGGCCCCCAATTAGTAGAAAAAAACCCGCAACCCTCTTGAGGTTAAATCATAACATCTTAATCATTCAATCCCAACTGATCAAATTCTAGAGTGACTTAATTTAAAACAAGATTCTAAATATGTTTATAGATTTTATCTTAAAAGATTATCTAATTTTAATAATGTTCCCTTGGTTGATCTCAATTTTATAGAAAGAAATGTTAATTTCTTTAATTTAACTGTTGTTGTTTCAATAAAAGCTTGAATCGTGAAGTATCGTTGCTACTCGAATCTCTGAGGACGAGAGTTGCTTAAAGTCTAGATTGGTAAAATTATTAGCTTCAAAATTTCAATATATGATATAACTTAATGTTTTTATGGTCTATTAAAAATATCATATGTGCTAATTTTCCATCTCATCGAGCTCTTATTACAACACCTCCATATATATATATAAATATGGGAGCGGATACTTATTCAGAGCAAAGTTGTGGTTTTAATATTGTAGGGTTCTAAGGGCAGAAGAGGAGACTATAGTTGGTTTCTCCAGGGCAAGTAAAGGTGCTGGAGGCACCGTCTTTTGGGTAACTGTAAACATGTGGGCACCGATTCTTGAAGAATTTGGAGTAATTTGTCGACCCGCAGCTGCTGTGTGGGGCAGTGCAGCAGTATCGATCGCCACCGAACACGGTGCAAGGGTTGTTATAGCCTCCAGGAGCCCTCAGCTTCGTCGGGCACTGTCTGTTGATGTCCGCTGTACAACTTTATAAGAATATGAATAAAACAATAAAGCTATTAAAAATTTTAAATAAAATATAAAGTTTAGAAATATTTTATTAATTTAATCAGATGTAATATACGTGACGCCACTGATGCTACCATTAGTGCACTTGCAAGAAGTTGGGCTAAACTCGATTGGAACATTAAAGCCACGAGCGAGAGATATATCAAATAGGTCCAAGTTGAACAAATTGAATTGGTCTGAAGCGTATTCTACGAGGGTGGTCGACGGAGTACCATAAGCTTGGCACTGGAGGAGGCCACCACAGTCACCCATCTCACATATACCGCGACCTGACTCATCGAAGCTGCAATTGGTTCAAGCTGAAATACGAATACCCTTAAGGTCGGGTTTCACTTCGAATGTCCAAACATCTATTTGATTAAGTTGTCGTCCACCGCTCGGTACTGCGGCAGTCCAAGAATTTCTTGAATTATATTATATAGGTAGAATTTTGGTTTTTTCTCTCTTTTTATGTGTCGAAACATCTGTTTGGTTTTTTCACTTCGAATGTCCAAACATCTCTTTTTTGGTTTTTTCTCTCCGTGAGTGACCCCACTAGTGGAGGTTAAATGCAAGAACATACGAATGTAATGACGGAATCTATCATATCAGTTTATTATCCTACGACATTATTCTAATGGGAAGCTTGGATGTGTACCATATACTCTACACATAGCCCATACGTGCGAGTATGGGCTCACCAGACAGTTCGCACACCGCTGGGCCCCATTTCCTGTCGGGTGAGCCTTCTCTAGTAGCTCAACTTTTGCCAGACATCTATTAGAATTAGTAACCGTCATGACAACATTATGTAAAACATAACGATACTTCGCCTGCCTAATGGATGTACACGTCCGTACCCTCGTGATGGAATAGGAGTATCCCTCAATGCATGAGCACACATAATGCATGAGGTCACAACAGTTTTCCATTTTTATTATCATTTAATACAACTCTGCTAGCGTTCAGTACATATCATATCGTTTTTCATATCATTTCACATATCGTTCATCATTCATATCATATCGTTTCTCATTCTTCAGTTCTCATATCATACATAATACTAACGGGGTTATAGTTCATATCATTTATCATGATTTCATGTCATTCATATCATGTTGTATACACACAATTTAAGAGACATAACATAGCGTTCTATGTTTTTAACATAACATTTCATCATATACATATCATACCATAACATATTGCATCACAATGTACCATATCATAAACATGTCAATTTATCATATATCTCGTACCATAACATATTTCATATCATATGGCAACATATATATATTCGTCATTCACATGTCGTATCATAAACATATCATGTCGTAAACACTTCGTGGTCGTATCGTTCCTTAACTTATCATAGCCTTAACATTTTTATCTTATCACAGTCATATCGTTACATGAACGTACCTTAGTCATATCATCACAGGAACGTATCCTAACGCTATCGTCCTATCAATCTATCACAAACCTATCCTTTTCTACCCATAACCTAACCGCATTCTTTTATCATTCTCTCATATCTATAGCACTTCAATATGTAACCTAATTTTAACGTTCCATGAACTTATCTTACATATCGTTTTGTGCTCTTTTTCGTATCCTATCTCAACATATCATTGAACACATCGTACCGTAATTATTATCATACAATTCACATATCATAACTTATACATAACATATGATAAGCATATCGATTCACAAATAATTCACACATATCAGTATATATGATACGTGTAAAACCACGGGCACGTGTCAACATCAAATATAATCATGCCGATAGTAAGGTCACTTACCTGATTAGCTTAGGCTGATGTCCCGACATTATCCTTAATGAAAGTCCATCGAAATCCAAGTCAACCTATGTGAGCCCATGACATCAGTTTCAAGTTTGAACTTCTACAAAATTGTTTCTCTAATTTATATAGGTCCATGTGTTATACTTGCATGAGTTAAGTCTTAAAATATTTATATATATTTGTTATAGTATTATTTTCATACAAACCATTCTCTTAATTTAATACCCTTAAACATTTTACAGATAATTTCAATTATATTCACAATCTCCCTTCTCTCTTACTGTGTTTCCCTTCTTTTAATTTTTCCTAGTAGCCCATCTTTAATCAATTCTTACTTTTTATCTATGGCTTTAATCTCTAATTCAAAACTAATAACCAAATTAATAAAGACTATTGCAGCATACTTTCTAGTTGAACTAAATCTGAACTTTTTTGTTTTTCTGTTTGTGTTTGTTTTTGCATAAAAAAGTAATTTGGAGACGACTTAAACCTTTCTTTTAATTTTGTTTGTTACATTTTCAATTATATTAGTAATTACTTTTGGTCAATTTAATGGATTATATTTTTTTTGATCATGTATCTTTCTAAAGGTAAATAGCAAATTAAAACTAAATAATTGGATAAAAGAAAAAACGAGGTCTGAGATATAAGAGAAATCTCATACCACTCTCCCATGTAAATCTTCACCATCTCCTATAGATCTCTCTCCCATTCAAATCTGATCTAAGGCATTCTTATTTTGAAATTTTTCAAAGACATTTTTGCATGCGGGTGAGGTGGGTTGAAGAGAGATTATTGGGAAAGGGATGGAGAGAAATAGGGGAATAAATGTTTTAATTTTTTTTTTTTTTTTTTGACGTAATAATAATTTTTGTTTATAATAATTTTTATTTGTTTATTTAATTTTTTGTTTACTATTACATGAATATTACAACAAGGTTATTAAAGTATTTATAGGAGAATTAGGGGACATAAGTAGAGGAGTAGCTCTCTTTGATTCAATTCTTCCTCAATTTAAATAATTTAGCTATTTTTTTCATTAAAAAAAATCGATGTATTTAAAATTAAATAGAAAACCGCATACTAAAATAACATATTGTTCGTGACATATTATTCGTGTATACAATATTTATGAATCATATTAATATTAATGACTAAACAAACCCAAAAATCTAAAATTTAATTCATATCCGTATAATTATTAATAAATGAAAATTAAATAAAATTTAAGGGATATTATTCCTTTATTAATAAATTGTGATGATGGTATAAAATTTATAAGTATATCTTATCTAATTTATAAGTATATTTGCTAGTAGAAAAGTTGAACTATCATAATTCTGACCTGTCGGTCCGAACTTAATGGAGAGAACCACCACAAAAACATCACTCTCTCAGAACACCCATCATACCAAATAAAAAATTTAATCAAATATAAATTAAACAAGGGAAAAAAGGTTTCCCTCAAACACCACCACCAATTTTTATTAATATAATATATTCATAGGTGAATGATTTAGAAGATGGGAGAGGAACTTGATTATGAATTGGGTTTGATCCATCAGTAAGTTTGTGTACAAAGCCTTCGAAAAAATCCACACCACCCGTCTTCATTTCGGTGGATATACTCCCAAAACATCGATAAAACAAGCTTTGGTCAGACCTGTCTTCATTTCCGTGGATAGACCCCCAAAACGTCGATAAAACAAGCTTTGGTCAGAAGTGACCACCGAAATGTGGGTGACGACGACAAGAAGTCCGATGAGGATGACAAGATAAAAATTCAGATGATGAGTCATTCATGAGTTCCAGTTATCACACACGAAATGTATTTTAGTTTAAAAAAATAGGTAATAAATGGTAAGGATAATATTCAAATATTTATAGAAAAAATAATTAACCTATCAGTTATATTCCAAAGGAGGAAAATCTTCCCTTAATTATTTGAATGATTACCGTTATAACTATTTTATCGATTATTTTCTATTTAAATAGTGAAATAATTTTTTTTTTTTCCGATTACTTAATTTGAATATTATTTAAATTTAAAATATATATACAAATAGTTGAGTTGATCTATTTTTGTTGGGTAAACCAATTTTTTTGATTCTCAATTGTCCTAATTTTTTATTATTATTATTATTAAAACTATGCTATATTTAATTCTATGTGAAAAATTTTAATAAAAAAAATAATTATGATGAAAAAATAATAATTTAAAAGATAAATAGTAAAGGAGTAAATAAAAAAAATGGATGAAAAATAACCATATTGATGAAACAATCTCATAAATGTAATGCATATTATAATTTTTAATGAATGAAATTAAATTAAAATTTAAGGCATATTATTGTTTTATAAATAAATTATTATAATGATATAAGATTTAGAAGTATATCTTATTTAATATAATTTATTTCACCCTATCCAATATTCAACTTTTGAAATAGGAGTAGACTAAAAATTTATTTTCTAAATACTTAATATTAAAAATTTACTAAAATAATTTATTTGAGAATAATTGTTAAGATTTATTACCAACCAAAAAACTTTTAAGGAAACATTTAATTAGTTAAAATTAAATTAATAATACAAAGTAAAATTGTTAAAAATGGTTAAATATCTAAAATTAAAGAACGTAATACAGTGTTGAAAATATAATAACATTTATCGTGTATTATAGACTTATAGTTAATATAATCCATATAAAAAATACTCCGAGATTTGGGTCGATTTGTTGATGGTGCAATTAGTTAATACATTATATAATTAAAAGGTTTGAAATTCAAAAATTTATTTCCTAACCATTAATTATGGCTTTTTAGTATATATTAAAGATTTGTAAAATATAAAATTAAAGAAGGATAATGTATTTCTATAAACTATTTAGTTGACAAAATAAAAAAAAAAGGAAAAAAAGTTTGGGTGAAACAATACAGTTTTATTAATATGATGAGAGTCGATTATTTGGTAAAGTTGTCGGGATAAATTTGTAAATAAATATTTAAAGTAGAGTATATGGAAGAGAAGTTTAATTATGAAAAGCATATTTTGAAATCTCAAATCTCACATCAATTGGAGCGGGATGAATCGAAGAGAATCACCAAAAACATCGATACTCTCTCAAAACACCGATGATAATGACTTATAAGATATAAAATTTATCAAATATAAAATTGAACGAGAAAAAAAAAAAGCAACACCACCATTTTTATTAATATAATATCACAAACAAAGATTATGAAAATTGAAGAACAAAAACCAACCTTTCTGCTCCTCCAAGTAAGAATAACACAAGAATCCATCCAATCAAAATAATAATCAAAATGTTTAATAAACATCCAAATGATTTGGATAATAGAACTGAAATTAAAAACGATCTATCAATCGATCCTGAAAAGAAGCAGGAATTTACATTGATAATTCGTATTTTCGAGCCCGTTAACCAAAATAAGAAGAACTTCAAAAATTCCGGCTGGCATTTTTCAGGATGATGAAAAGAAGAGGTTTGAAAGAAAAATATCCCAAATTTGATCCCACCGTTTTTGTAAGATAATTGTTTGTGCAAACATATATATAGGCGTCGAAAGGATCTAACGAG